TGAACTCTGGGCCTGGGCTCTGTCCCTCAGCTCTTCAGCTCAAGGCTAGCGCTCTACCACTTGAGCCACAGCGCCACTTCTGGCTTTTTCTTTTTGCTTATGTGGTGCTGAGGAATTGAACCCAGGGCCTCAGGCTTGCAAGGCAAGCGCTCTACCACTGAGCCACCTTCCCAGCCCCAGATTTGAGGATTTTATATTGTGTATACTATAAATAAAAGTCACTGGGGGAAAAAGGACTTAATGTTAAGAAAATAAAATAAGGAAAAGCATTCTGAGGCTCATGACACAACTCGTTCTTGACAAGAAATTTGGATCAGGTACAAGTATCCAGGTGTTCCCTTGGCAGAATCACTCAGTTAAGTTGGCCTTGGAAACACAGCTTTCCTGTAACAAGCTGTTCTTTCATTCCCCTGGGGCACAAATAGAGGCCTGAAAGTGTGTCCAAGTGTGGGTGAGGGAGACAACGATCCCACAGAAGTTGACAGTACTGATTCTCCTCACTTTCAGGACAGTTGAATTCAGGTCTCTCTCTTTTTTTTTTAATTTAATTTTATTTGAATTCAGGTCTCTTACCTGCACTGGATAGACTGGTACCTGGCTCTGTCCATGGTTCCTTCCAGCTATTGAGTCTCATTCACAGTCCCTGGAAAGGTCAGTCTCACACACCTCTGTCTATAGCCAAATAGATGGCAGTAGATGCTTACCTTACCCATTGCTAGTCAGTGAAGAACTAGATCAGCATTTGAGAATTGTATCAAAGAAGCACAGTGAATGGAAGGTGATGGTGGAAAGTGTAGATGTTCCTTTTTTTTTTGCCAGTCCTGGGGCTTGAACAACAGGGCCTAGGAGTGGTCCCTGAGCTTCTTTTGCTCAAGGCTAGCATTCTACCATTTAAGTCACAGCACCACTTCTGGCTCTTTCTGTGTATGTGGTACTGAGGAATTGAACCCAGGGCTTCTTGCATGCTAGGCTAGCACTCTACCACTAAGTCACATTCCCAGCCCTAGTGGAAAGTGTAGAGACTAGAGGGTCTGGGGCTGGCCAGTTGAATGTAGAGTAGCAGAGGCCAGATCTGCATATAGAAGCAGAGGAAGGAAAGAGAAAAGATCTTGTGATAATAAATGGTTTTCCATTGCTGGTCCCTCTGAAGGTTGGTTGTATTTAAGATTTTTTTTTTTGTCAGTCATGGGGCTTGAACTCTGGGCCTGGGGGTTGCCCCTGAGCTCTTCAGCTCAAGGCAAGCGCTCTACCACTTGAACTACAGTGCCACTTCCAGTTTTCTGGTGGTTAATTGGAGATAAGTGGACTTTCCTGCCTGGGCTGGCTTTGAACTGCAATCCTCAGATCTCAGCCCCCTGGAGAAGCTAGGATTACAGGCATGAGCCACCAGCACCTGGCTAAGATTTTTGAAAAGACTAAATCAAAGGTCAACAAAATCAACACCAGGAAAAAGGTACTAGAAAAGGCTGGGGCTGAGGGGAGGCAGGTAGACAATGAAGACATGAAGAGGATGTATTCCTGTAATGATCACGCCATTCTTCAGTATCACTCTTGTTGTTTTTTTGGTTGGTTGTGGGGCTTGAACTCTAGTCCTGGGCACTGTCCCTGCACTCTTTATCTCAAGGTGAGTGCTCTACCACTTGAGTCACATCAGCACTTCCAGTTTTCTGAGTGGTTTATTGGAGATAAGAGTCTCATGGAGTTTCCTACCTGGGCTGGCTTTGAACCTCGATCCTCAGATCTCAGCCTCCTGAGTAACTAGGATCACAGGGGTGAGCCACCGACACCTAGCCTCCATTATCACTCCTGTCTTGAGGATCTTGCTATGTAGCCTAACCTGGTCTTCAGCTCCTGATCTTCCTGCCTCCAAATGTTAGGGCAACAGGTATGGACTACCACGCTTCCAGACTACCAAGATGGACTACCAGCTTCCAGAATCATCCTTTTCTTTGTTCAAAAATGTCATTATTATTATTATTTGTTGATGTGGTACTGAGGAATCAAACCTAGAGCCTCATGCATGCTAGCACTCTACCACTAAGCCATATTCCCAGCCCTGAAACATCCTTTTTATGTTAGTTTGAAGGGGATCTTTTCCTTGAATAACAGGCTAGTCTTTTCTCTCATACTCATACTGAAATCCTATTGTTGAAATTGGACTCTAACTACAGAATTGCTTAAATCCAACATCACTATCCTTTTTGACAAGTTCTGAATGTTTGTAAACCTGAAGAATCTAGCCACTACAGGAGAAACCACTATTCTTAAGTTCCATCTTGAGTTTGCAGTCACTTTAGGCATAGTTAGGCCTTGAGTTCTGCCATTCAGTTGCCTGTCAAGCTATTTAGAACACATTCGCCATCTTCTTCCCCCTGGCAACTTGGGCTCACTTCTTTTTTTAAAATGTTTTTTGCTATTTACGATCAAAGTGATATAAAGATTAGTTACCATTTCATACCATTCAGGTAATGAGTATATTTCTTTATGTTGTTGTTGTTGGTCGTGGGGCTTGAATTCAGGGCCTGGGTACTGTCCCTGAGCTCTTTTGCTCTAGCATTGTACAACAGAGCCACTTCTGGTTTTCTAGTGGGTAATTGGAGACAAGAGTCTCTTGAAGTTTCTTGCCCGGGTTGGCTTTAGTAGCTAGGATTATAGGTGTGAGCCACCAGGACCTGGCTATAAGTACATTTCTTTTTGGACAATGTCACCTCTTCCTCCTTGTTTTACTTCTTGAAACTCAAAACCACACCTTAAGCAGGATGTCTCCAAGACTTTGGATGTCCAGTAGTGTCCAATGTTCCCTTCCAGGAACTTTCTTTTCTCTCTCCCTCCCTTCCTTCTTTCCTTCTTTCCTTCCTTCCTTCCTCCTTCCTTCCTTCTTTCCTTCCTTCCTTCCTTCCTTTTTTTCTTCCTTTCTTTCCTTCTTTTTTCTTTCCTTCCTTCCTTCTTTTCTTCTTTCTTACTTTCTTTCTTTCTTTCTTCCTTTCTTCCTTTCTGTTGCTATGGGACTTGAACTCAGGGCCTGGGCACTGTCCCTTTTGCTCAAGGCTGTACCATTTTGAGCCACAGCTCCACTTCTATGAAGACAAGGGACTGTTGGCTCTGTGAACTGTTTACAAGAGTGTTCTGCAAGACATTGCATAGTTCTCTGTCTTTTGTGAATAGTCCAGTCTCAGAACACTTGTAGTAATAATTTATATTAAGTATTAGAATATAATGAAAAAGCCAACATATCACTTGGACTTTGGATGTCAATTTTAGATAGTTTTGTTATAGTCTAGACATGAAATTCATCACATAGCAACAGCACTTTTTTTTTTTTAAAGAAAACAGTAATGACGAGAAGATTTTCTTTTTATAATTACCTATACTCTGTGGTTATTTGGGCAGACAATAGCTGGCTGTAGTGAACTATAATGATTTTTAAAGAAGTGAGCTTTGCCCTAGATAGGTAAGCATAAAGTTCTTCCCTTATATGGCAATGAAGTTTTAGAAAAATTCTTTTTTTTTTTTTTGTTGGTTATGGAGCTTGAACCCAGGGCCTGGACTTTTGCTCAAGGCTAATGCTTTACTACTTTTTAACCACTATTCCATTTTCTAGAAAAATTCTTATGTACTTTCAGAATTGAACCAGAAAGAAATATCAGTCCTGTGATTAACTTACTTACACTGATTGCAACTCAATTAATTTTGTGGACTCTGGGACTGATGAGCATCTAATCTCTCTTTCTCTCTCTCTCTCTCCCTCTGTGTGTGTGTGTGTGTGTGTGTGTGTGTGTGTGCCCGCGGGTGCACTACTACTGGAGCTTGAACTTGGGGCCTTGAACTTTTTTTTTTTGGGTCCGGTCATGGGGTCTGAACTCTGGGCCTGGGCGCTGTTCCTCAGCTCTTCAGCTCAAGGCTAGCGCTCTACCACTTGAGCCACAGCGCCACTTCCAGCTTTTTTCTTTTTGCTTATGTGGTGCTGAGGAATCAAACCCAGGGCCTCACGCATGGGAGTCAAGCACTCTACCACTGAGCCACCTTCCCAGCCTCTATTTTTTTTTGGTTATTTATTTATTTGTACCAGTCTGGGCCTGAGTGCTGCCCCTAACTAAACTCCTTACATATTCTACCACTTGAGCTATTGCGACACTTGGAGTTTTCTGATGGTTATGGATTTTCCTGCCTGGGCTGGCTTTGAACCTCGACCCTTACCCTCAGATCTCAGCCTCCTGAGTAGCTAGGATTACAGGCATGAGCCATGGGTACCTGGTAGCTTTGCACTACTTGATCAGCTTTTGGGTTCACAGAGAGCATTCTACCCTGGAGACAAACTCCTACTTCCAGTTTTGTTGCTGCTTAATTTGGTGATAAGGGTCTACTGACCTGGCTTCAAGCCTCAATGCTCAGATTTCAGCCTCCTGAGTAGCAAGGGTATGAGCCACGGGTGTCCAGTCAATCTCCACCTCACCCCTGGCCTCTGTATCTCCAATACTGGGACTTGAACTCAGGGCCTGAGCATTGTTTCTTAGATTTTTTTTTTCATTCAAGGCTTTGTCACTTTATCACTTGAACTACAACTCACTTCTGGCTTTTTGGTGGTTATTTGTAGATAACAATCTCACAGACTTATTTTCCTGCCCAGGCTAGCTTCAAACCATGATCTTCAGATCTCAGGCTCCTGAGTAGCTAGGATTACAGGTGGAAGGCAATCTCTCTCCTTTTTAAGATAAAAAAAAATAGAACGTGGCCTCTTTCAATGCTAGTGATACGTCAAATCACTTTGACAATGGGCACGTTGCCACGTCGGATGCTATGATGTGCAGAAATGATAAGGACACAGGCGTGTGTCTGGGAGTGGGAAGGAGCTGCAGGATGGGGGTGTGCACCAAGAGTGGGATGCAGCATGGGTGCAGCTGGTGCGCCAACTGCTAGAAGAATTCTAAGGTGTCAGAGTGGTTGCAAACCTAAAACAACATGTCTTAAGAAAGGATTGGTCTTTGCCTATAATAAGGTGATATTCTATGACATTTACATGTTGGGAGTTGAAGCAGAATTCAGGAACAGGGAGCAGCTATTGCCTTCGAAAAGAGGGCTGGGTGGGTTTGGAGAGATATAGACTACCAGGTCTGGCAAATCCAGAATGATGAGCTCAGACCATTTCCAGCATCTCACCAGTATCCCTGCTTGGATAAGGGGAAGCTACATTGAAAAGGCTTGATTTGATTCAGAAATCAAACATTATCTTTCCATTTTTCAAAAATATTTTAATTAATTAGGTGTACTGGAGTTTGAATTCAGGGCTTCATGCTTTCTAGGCAAGGGCTTAATCACCTGAGCCCTGACTCCAGACCTTTTTGCTTTAGTTATTTTACATATAGTGTCTTATATCTACCCTCTCACCCCCTCCCCAGGCTCCCTTTGAACTGAGATCCTCCTACCTCTGCCTTCCAAGTTGCTGGGATTTCAGGTGTCTATTAGCCCAATTGATTTATTTATTTTGCCAGTCCTGGGACTTGATCTTAGGGCCTGGGCACTGGCCCTGAGCTTCTTTTGCTCAAGGCTAACACTATATTACATGAGCTACAGTGCCACTTCTGGCTTTTCTGTTTATGTGGTACTGAGGAATCAAACCCAGGGCTTCATGCAGGCTCGGCAAGTACTCTACCACTGAGCCACCTTCCTAGCCCCCAATTTATTATTTGAAATAAAGTCTTCCTAACTTTTTGCCTGGGCTGGCCTTGAACTGTGATCCTTCTGTCTGTATCTTTCAAGTAGCTGGGAGTACAGAAAGGAGCCGCCATGCTTAGCCCTTTGTTGGTTTTTTAATAGAGTTAAAAAAAATCCTTACTCTCACTATAACTTGCTAAGTTTCACATTTTCAAAATCTCCCAAAGAGAAGAGAAGGTGATAAAAAAAACCAGGTTCTATGCTTATACATCTCTATACATTGGAAAAAGATGGCAGGTGGCTAGCTGTTTTATGATTCCTGTTTAAGATGTCACTTTCCACAAGTGATGATTGGGGCTTGGAGGCTGGAGTTATTTATACTAATCTAGTGATGGCCAGTGTTGGGGTAGAGGTTGAATTAGAGAGTCTCTGGGTACCCTATAACCCCAGCCGATGTTAACACCTCTCTCTTCAATCTGTTGTGGGATGAGATGGGCCTGTGTAAGTCCTATAAGCCTCCCCAGCCAGGGCATGGGGGAAGAGCGAAGAGCCCCTTTGGATTCCTTGTCTTTCCTTTCTGATCAGAATCTAGTTTATGAACTAAGGTGAAGTGTGAAAGAAAACACTAGATTCAGGGCTCCCAAGATCTTCTTCCTCATTTATTCCTGCTCCTTCCTTCTGCCCTCCCTGCCCTTTCCTTTTGCTAGTGGTTTGCAAACCTATTTTAAGGCTGAGGTCACCTGGAGATCGGGCAGTGGGGGAAAGGAGAGAGAGTAGGAAGAGGAGAGGTCAACCTCATAGAACTGGAATAAAGAGGCCTATGCGATTAATTAAGGCGACAAATAGAGATCAAACACTCACCACATACAAATAGCCATGCCGCTGGAGATATATAACAAGGTGGCCAGCACTGTGATTCAAGGTGGATACTGATAGATACAGTAAGCACTAGAGTAGGTCATGTGGTCCCCATAGCCCTTACACTATGAATATTGGGAATATTGTTGCTTCAGTAGAAGTGATGCTCAGATGTACACATGTCTAAAGATAGCTAGTGTTCAGACGGGATTCCAGGCTGATGGAAATAGCTTAGATATTTCCTACAGATGGATATATACATATACATATATATAATCCCAGAGTCAATTTGATCTTTCTACCCAATTTATTAACTAGTGGACCCACAGAAGAATGAGCCCAAATCCTTACCTTCTGCCACAGTCAGCACCAGCCAGCAGATCAGTAGCCGGGAGGAGTGGAGTGTGTGAGCCATGGCTTCTGCCCTGAGCAGTCACCAGCCTGGGCTCAGGGCTGCTTTAAAGGGATGCTGATGAGTCACAGAAGCCCAATTGAGGTAATTGGACCACAGCCATCAGAGCCTGCGGTGAAGCTAAGAGATCTTCAAGGAAATACCAGACAGTATTTATCAACTAGAAGCTCTTAGAATTCAAACATCATTCATTTCTCCTTTGTTTTGGATGACTTGGCCCTCCCCGTCTTTCTAATCCCTTAAATCTCCTCTTCCAATGCCGTGTCTTTGCTTGTGTGTGTGCATTTTCCTCTGCAGGGGACGAGACCTGTCCAGGAGTTATCTCCTTAATGGCTTCATTCTGTGAGGCTGACTTAGTTAAAAATGCAAAACAGGAGGCAGAGAGCACGATCCAGTGGCTTCCTGACCAGGTGTGTATAGAGGCTGCTGTGTGCAGGATCTGTGGTTCTTCTCTTCTCTGCCCAGGAGGTCAGGACAGCACAGTCAGCAAACTGCCTCTCCTTGTGGCTATTACACTCATTGTTTTAACAAACATGAAATTTTGGGAGTGTAACAGTGTGTTGCCCATCCCAGGTTCCTTCCCTTTTGTGGGTGAGAGTTCTGGAGCTTGAACTCTCAGCCTGGGCCTCAATGAGCCTTTAAAGTGATCAAGGCTAACGCTCTATCACTTGAGCCACAGCTCCATTTCTGGTATTTTTGAAAAGTCTCATGGATTTTCCTGCCTGGGCTGGCTTTGAACTGCAATCCTCAGACCTCAAACTCCTGAGTAGCTAGGATTACAGTCATGATTCATTACAGTCATGAGTCACTGGGTGCCTAGCTCCAGGTTTCATCCAATTCAACACAGATGGACATAATACATCTGTGCTTGGTTAGGGTCTTTAGAAAAGGACTCTGCCTGCTGCTGGAGAAGTGAAAAGAAGGGGTACATGGTGATTAAGAGTTTGGACCTTGAAATTAGGAAAAGCTCTAATTTTGGTTCTTTTCTTACTAGCAACATGAGTGTGGCGAGTCCCTGAGATTTGCTGGAGCCTATGCACCTGATCTATAAATTCCTGTGTTAGCCAGTTTCCCATCACTGGGTCAAAATCTCTTGAGAATCAGTGTTTAAGGAAGAGAGGTTTGTATAGATTCACAGTTTCAGATCTTCCAGGTGTAGTCAATGGACTCTAACTTTGGGCCTATGGTGAGGCAAATCTTCATGGCAGGAGCATGAGGTAGAGCAAAGCTGCTCACTTCATGGTGACCAGGAAGCAGAGAGAGAAAGAAAGAAAGAAAGAGGGGTCCAGGTTCTAGAATCTCCTTCAAGGCCACTCCCCCCTGCAATGACCTAACTTCCTCCCACTCGGCCCCTCCTCCTAAAAGTTTCACCACCTTCCTCCCTCCCCCCTTTTTTATGTTTTTAAACTTTATTTGATTTTGTTGTCAAGGTGATGTACAGAGGGGTTACAGTTACATAAGTCAGGTAATGAGTACATTTATTGTAGAACATTGTTCCCCTGTCATCTTTCTACCACTTTCCCTTCCCCCAATTCCTCCCCAAATTATAAAGTTAATTTCCCACATAGTGTCTCATTTTGCTGTTGCATTGATTCACCCTTTGTCCTTTGTCTCACCATTTTGTTATTCCTCTTCCCTTCCCTGATCAGATAAACGTATATACAAGGCACAGGGTACTAGAATCAAAAACAGTGATGACAGCTGGTAAACCAAAGGGGAGGGGATGAAAGAAAAAAGAACTAACTTTACATAGTATGTTAACAACAACAACAACAAAGAAAAAAAGCCTTTTGTTTCCATATGTTAGAGTTCATTTCGATTAGCATCATTTTATATGATCATATGTATATTGGGCTATTATGAACCTTTATCATATGTACATATTGGGCTATTATGAACCTCTGCTGGGACTATCCTAGACATATACTAATTATTACAAATGAAGGAAACCATGGAGCCTATGTTTCTTTGGGTCTGGCTCACTTAATATGATTTCTTTCCAAGTCTTTCCATTTCCTTAGAATGGGGCAATGTCATTCTTTCTGATGGAAGCATAGGATTCCACGGTTTCACCACCTTCTAATAATGCCACAAGTTTGTAACTAAGCCCTCAACACATGGGCCTTTGGAAGACATTGAAGATACAAATTATAGCAAGTCTCTCTCTCTGAGGACTGTGAAAAAGGCAATTAATGTAAAGCTCAAACCACAGTGCTGAACTGTGAAAGGGAGTGTTTGTAGTTGTTATTAAGTGATAATCGTTTCATTCATAATTTATTTTTGTAGGAGGTCCTACTTTCTAAATCATTCAACTACTCAAAAGATCTCCATGGAAGCATGGCTCAGGTGGAAGGCAGCTTGCCGAGTATAAAGCATGAGCTCCTGAGTTCAAGTTCTAATCTCAGACCAAAAAAAAAAAAAAGATCTTCACTTAGAGTATTTCCTTTTCTTGTGTGTGTGTGTGTTGTGTGTATGTGTATGGGGTGGGGCTGGGCTTGAATTCAGGGCCTAGGCACTGTTCCTGAGCTAGCCCCACCCAAGGCTAGAGCTCTGTCACGTTGAGACACACAGCTCCATTTCCAGCATTTTTTTTATTGTGAACATACTGTACAGAGGGGTTACAATTACATGGGCAAGATAATGACACATTTCTTATCAAGCATTGTAGCCTCCTCCTTTGTTTCCCTTTCATTTTTTTTTTTTTGTAGTTAATTGGAGATAAGAATCTCACAGACTTTCTTGCCCAGTCTGGCTTCAAACTGAGATCCTTAGATCTCAGCCTCAGGAGTAAGCCAGTAGACCCTGGCTGAGAAAAATATTTTCCTTGGTATCCAAAAACCAAAATTCAACACAATCCCTGGCTTTAAAGGGCTGACAGTCTAATGAGGGAGACTATGTAAGTGAGAATCGAGATGGATGAGAAGGCAAACAAACACAAATGAGAAAGGGACAAAATCCACAGGCTTGGTGGTTATCCTATTAAAGTTCTAGAACAGAGAGCATTTTTGTGCTGTGTGTGTATGTGTGCATGTGCGCGCACATGTGTACACATGTGCGTGTGTGCGTGAAATAGGAACTTGCTATGTTGTCCAAGCTGGTCTTCATCTTGTGAACTCAAGCCATCCTCAGTCTTCTGAGTAGCTAAGATTACAAAGTCCCATGACATGCACCATCACTCAGGCTGGAAGAGATAAATTCAATCAGATTTAGCTCCAAATAATGAGACTTGTCAATAGCTTGAAATGGAGTCAGGAACCACCTACAACAAGTGTAGTTTCTTACACCCACTTAATAACTTTTCTTATCAACCATTGTTGCCTCCTCCTTTGTTTCCCCTTCCCATCCCTTCCAGTCTCCCTCCACCCCTCTTGGCTTGCCCCCAACTTTTTATTGACTCTTTAGTCAAGGTGCTGAGAGTAGCAATAGGTTTCTGCTTTTGTGGGCTCCATAGTCTGGTAGAGGCATTAAAGATGAACTCAGGAATAAGAATGAAGGGGTCTGAGTGCTACAAAGAGGCAGTACTGGAAGGCTGGGAGCCAGAAGCAGAGAAACCATGTATGGTTTGACATCCATAAGCACATTCTCCATGCTGGAGATGCACTGCTAGGCCAATAAGACTAGAGACATAGAATCACTGCAGCTACTGCCCAGGGTTTTGTTTTTATAGATTCAGTGTGAAAGTTTTGCTTGATAAGAACATTTTTTTTGTAATCTTTTGGCTTTAAAAAAAATCAAATTTGTGGGCTGGGAATGTGGCTCAGTGGTAGAGTGCTTGCCTTGCATGCATAAAGCCCTGGGTTCGATTCCTCAGCACCACATAAGCAGAAAAAGCTGGAAGTAGCGCTGTGGCTCAAGTGGTAGAGTGCTAGCCTTGAGCTGAAGAGCTGAGGGACAGTGCCCAGGCCCAGAGTTCAGGCCCCACAACTGACCAAAAAAAAAAATCAAATTTGTGTAAGTTTTCAACTTAAACATTAATGAATATAAAAGCTACAAGTAAACTAGTTTATTTTCTACTTGTCTCTATTGTCCATAAATTTATAGATACACATTTCAAAGGAATAAAGTTTAAAAGAATGTTTTGTTTTTTCTGTGCTGCGCCTGCAGTTTATACTCAGGGCCTAGACACTGTCTCTGAGCATTTGTGCTCAAGCCTCGTAGTACCCTACCACTTGAGCCACAGTTCCACTTCTCACTCTTTGGGTAGTTTATTGGAGATAAGAGTCTCACAGACTTTCCTGCCCAGGCTGGCTTTGAACTGTGATCCTCAGATCTCAACCTCTTGAATAGCTAAGATTACAGATGTGAGTTGCTGGTGGCTGGCTCATATCCTCGTCCTCCTCTCTTCCACCTCATCTTCCTTGTCCTCATCTTCATATTTTTCTTCTTCGTCATGGGGCTTGAACTCAGGGGGGCCTGGGCACTGTCCCTGAGCTTTTCTGCTCAAGGCTAGCACTCTACCACTTTGAGCCACAGTGCTATTTCCAGTTTTCTAGTGATTAATTGGAGGTGAGAGTCTCATGACTTTCTTGCATGGGCTGGCTTTGAATCACAATCCTCAGATCTCATCTTCCTGAGTATGTAGGGTTACAGGCATCAGCCACCAGTGCCTGGCTCATAGTCTTATTCTACAGAAAACTTTCACATTTGTATTTCTGTGTAGCATCATGGTCTTTATGTGTCTTATTTCTTTGGCTTTGGGGTTGTGAACATTTCTTCATCCTTCATCTATTCAGTGGGTACTTAGTGGGTGTCCATGCTGGGCCACACAGTTCCTAGGGATGGGGTATAAAAAAATACCTACTCCAGTGGTTTATATTCGAGGGTGGTGATGACTGAGAATAAGCAATAAGTGTAACACAGAAATAAATTATTTTAAGCCAGGCATTGTGGCTCACCCCTGTAATCCCAGCAACTTGGGAACTGGAAATTCAAAGTATAAGCTCCTACATCAGCCCAGGTAAAGAGTTATTGAGATCTCATTTCAACTAATAACTTAGGCACTT